ACTTACTTGATTTTCGTATAGTACATGTTCTTAATTTACAGTTTTAATAGTATTATCGACTTATCTAATTATTTTGGTTATATACCATCAGCATGAATGTAGTTTAATTGATTTGTGAATGTAATATGAGATATTGATATGCGTTTTTTGGTTATTTGTTGATAAAAAATTTGTATGTGAAAGACTTGCTCGTTACCCACAAAAAGGGAGGACGAGCCTGGTACATAGAAAACCCTACCGTAAATGTTACTTCAGTCGGACGGGGTTGAAAAGTCCTTAGCAGAGAGGTTTGAGAGATATGGTTTACTTTCATATGGGACGAGGTATCGATGCGATAGAATATTTGGCGCCCATTACTGAACGAGGTATGTAAACGATCAATTAATTATAAAATTGGATATTAGGCTCACGAGTTAGGGGTGCATCCCTATGGACCCTCAGGGGTACCAGTAAGCAGGTAAGAAAGAAAAGTTATTATCTCTTATTCTGTGCGTGAAAGTGAAGAGCGATATGAATATGAGTCTTTATAGGTTGTTTTTGAAAAACTTGTTACTGTAAGTATCAAACAAACGTCTTCAAGTTTAAAGGTATTTAAATAAAGTAAGGATTCCATTAGTTATTTTTTTAATTTTTACCAATATTCAATTTTTCGTATATGTAATTAGTGTGATATTCTTACTGGTCTAGTATAACTCACATTTTCATTAATTATTTCAGATAAAAAGGACCAGGATCTAGATTTTGATCAGCAAGAAGGCTGTGAGTAGTTCACCACCCGGACTCACTTCAAGTGCTAGTGAAGCTTGTCCTAGGGTAATTTTGTATTCGCTCTTCTTTTCATTTCTTTAATTACCGTTTATCTTTCAAAATGGACATTCTCATAACCCTATTAGGTATTTTAAATTATTGTGTAAGGAATGTGAACTCTAACTCTATTAATCGGTTCCGTATTTAATTTTATAAATTCATTTCCATTTAAGTTCTGAACATTTACACTAATAGTTCATAAAATATGTGTTCATAAAATCTCTCAAATATGCAAATCATAATCTTTTTTTGTCAATAATGGGAAAATATAAATAAATGCCACGAATATATTTTTCTCTTTAACTACAAATATATATATTTTAAAGAGTCATTTTGTTATTCTAACTAAAATACATTAATTACGTGTAATAATTCCAAAAATATTCAAAGGAAATAAAAGATAATTAAAGTGCGGAAGCGTAATAAATGTTCAAGATTTACATTCCTTACGCAAATAACTTAAAGTCCCAAACAGCATTACGGAATTCACTCTTTTAAAAGAAACATAAGAATAAGGAACTAAACGAAAAATAAAGAAATCTAACATCTACTCGCAATCTTCCTACGGATCGGGCTCTGGAATCTAGTCATTTTTATCTGAAATGGTTAAATAAAGGATGAGCTACACTAGCTCAGTAAGGATATCACAATATATCATCGATACAGAAGTAAATGTTGGTATAAAATTAACACACTAATGGAGCACTTAATTTAAATAAATTTGTTTATCATAAATAAAACTATTTACCGTTCACTACTGTAGTGGGATTCATAAAAATAACCTATGCATACAATTAATATCATACAGATCATAGTTTCATATAAAATCAGCAACATAACACATATCACAAGTCTATATATACATCGTTAATAAACCAAACAATAACTGTAACTTTTTCACCAGCCTACTAGTATCAATGGGGGTTTATAGGGATGTCTTCGCCATACGCGAACCATTTCCTTTGGAATCTCAATTACGGGCTGTACCCATACCCCGTCTGGTATGAGACAACATTCACGGTAGGGTTTTCTATATACTCGGATCGTCCACCATCTTCCAAGATATCCAATAAGGATGTCGTCTTCATCTATTTAACTTCCCACACAACTTTCTCATTTTCTGTTAGTCTTCATTTTCTAAATCAATCATAATCACACAAACAAACAAATATGCATCAGACAAACAAACAAACATGCATAAGAGAATACAAGCATATCTCAATTTTCTAACTAAATGGTGATCATGTAAAGCAGCAATACATGCATTCAAACCATAAAATTGATAAATCAGATACTATCATGACTTTAAACTGTACAATAAATCAACAGAAATCAACAGAAAACAATTTTAAGTTTTGACTCCAATAGCAATCCGTAATTAATTATGCACATTTATTAAATTCGCACAAAATACTATATTATTATTTATTTAAACTTCAATTTTATGATAGGGAATAGGATGAGGGATCCTTACTCGATTCGATGTCCGAAAAGCTAAGCTGTTTGACTGCGCCTACGGGCGATTCCTAGGTTCTCTAAATTTTTTTTTAGAATTAAAACGTGCTAATAGTACCTATAAATATCCCAAATAAACCCAAAATCAGTCCCGAGGCCCACTTGGCCAATTTCGAAATTCTGGCACGGCGTTGCAGCCTGCGGCGGTGGTCCGCCTCGGGTCGGTTATTTTCGGCTGGTTTTGGTCGAATTCGACCGATTTTGCATCGATCATTGTGAGAAAACACGTTAAAGAGCCTCAGTTGGGCCAAAAATACAAAAAAATTAAAACTCACCGGCGGCGGGGCTCTCTGTTGCGCGGCTCCTTCGGCTCACATTGCAGTTGGG